AATGATGGCCACACTTGTGAAGTATGGCAAAGTTAGCCAAGTGGGGTTAGGGTAGACTGTGGGTGGAGACTGATGCCAGAGAAGGAGGGTCACTACCTCAGCTCAAGCTTGGAGAGAAATGATAACCTTGCTGAGTCTGGCTGCTCACTGGCCCAGCCACAGAGAATCTTGTAAGGAAACTTGGTGGCTGTTCATCAGTTCCTTTAGGCAAAGGGTACAGTCACACAAATGGTGGGCTAGGAAAATTCCCCTTCCTAAAAATAACTTGTCTTCTGATGTCTGTAATTCTTTCACTAGAAATTCCTTCCTTTGCGAATGCAGAACTCTGCATTGTGTTCAGCAGAACTCTTGTATTAGACTATGTCCCTTGATTAAATAAAATTATGAGATCAAGGTTAATCAGATTTTTCTTCCGCAGACATTCTCAGAGCTTTGTTTAATATGCTAATGTGAGTTGTCACTTTCTGTGACTAAAGTATAAACAGTTTTCCTGAGTTTTAAAATCAAGGACGCCTTGCCTCATGAATGCCTCTTGGGGTTCAACGGGAAGGTTTGGGGATGCTGCTCTGGAAGACTTTTTAGTTCCATTGAATGTCCTAGGAAAGCAAATGTCCCTTGGCTTAGGGATCATGTGGGAGAATGGCAGCAACCCAGACAAGGCCTTGAAAGATGAGCTGAGAAAAGGTCTGGGAGGCAGAGCACCTGCAGATGAAGGGCAGGTGAAGAGATCCAAAGTGGCCTTTTCCCCTGACACCTGCTGACTTGGAGTCCGGCAGAGCAGTAGCACCATTCTCTGCCCCTCATCACCCATGTCTCTGCTGCCTTTACTTCCAGGAGACACCACTCCTCTCCTCTCTGTGACAATGAAGCCCATCAGTCTGCATTCCACAGCTCTGTTTGTTCCCATCTGCACCTCCCAAGCCAGGACACCAGGCCTTTCCAGTCCACACGGCGGGGCTCTGCAGTCCCTTCTGCCTGGCTCCACTCTGGGATCTTCCTACACATCTTTTAATAATCATTTATGTAGACACCTCTAGGAAGATATCCTTGAGAGCTTTCACCACTCCTTATTCCTCAGCTGGATGTATTATCCCTCCCCAAGCTCCTGTGACACGCTGTGCATACCACGCTGTTTCTGTCCCTCTCGTCTGGGAATCCTGGAGAACTTTGTCCTCATATTTTCACATCCTCCTCTGGTAGGAGTCAGGTGCTCAATACCTAACTGAGTGAATGAGACCCAGGCATGGAACAATGGATGCTTTAAAACCCCTTATCCAGGCAACTTTAATGAGTTTCCCAAGAAAAAGACTCTGTTCTGTATGTTCACAGCCTCATCCTTGTTTGTCCCTGCCCAGCTTCATTGGGGCTCTGACTTTTTGGAGGCCTCTCTCACTGTCTGTCCACAGGTCCACTGTCTGGCCTGTTCTTTCTGTTGCTGTTTCATTGCTAACCAGTCTGCTGTGGGACACTTGATTCATTTTGTCCTTTTTCAAAAATCATGAGTACTGGACTATGAATGGCCTGCCTCTAGCTTTGTGTTTTCTCAGCAGGAAATAAGTACAATGTCTTGAGAAGACAATCTGACTTGGAGGATGGGAAGAAAGAGTTTTCTTTTTCTTTTCTAGGATGAACTTGGATTTAATGATGAGCAGGAAAGGAAAAATTAGAAGAACAGGAAACTGAGGATGTCATAAATTTGTTATTAGTAGCTCTCCCAGGGCTGTGTCATGACTTTCATGGGCCTTACGCAATTTTGCCTACATGGACTTCTTCTCCATTAAAAAAACAAAACTTATGATTGTGTTGCTATGGGCCTGAATGTAGTGCAGACTGGATTCATTTTATGTATTAATTGCTGTTATGTCTTATTTTTCTTCTGCTTTAAAAATATCAAATGTGTACAAAGTTCGGAGAAATGAGCACAAACATCAGGGTGATTACAGTCAATACTAAGGTATTTGGTGCTTTAAAATAATTAAAAGAGATGATTTTGAATGTTTTGCAATAAGTAGGTGTTTTAAAATAAAGAAACAATATATGTTTGAAGTAATGGCTATGCTAATTGCTCCAGTCATTCCACAATGCATCCTTGTATGGAAATATCATGTTGTACAGCATAAATTGTACAATTATGTTAGTTAAAAATAATATAGAACTTAAAAATAGAACATTTCTGGGACCACTAAATGCCTTGAGCATGTGCTATGCACAGTGGCTGAGCTCACCTTAAGCCCACTGTCCTGCCCACTGTTCCTTGAGCACACAGCACTCTCTGACATTTTGATCACTGTGTCCCTTCTCCCTGAAATGTCTGTCCCCCAGGCCAGCCTTGTCTCCTTCCCATGATGCTCCATCCACCCAACACATTCCTTCAGGGTCCAGCCACAGTATCATTTTCTCTTTCCAGATGCAGTGAATGAAACTACAGGATACCCAATTAAGTCTGAACTTCTGAGAGATCACAAATATTTTAGCATGCGTATGTCTCACACCACACATCTCCAATATCGCAGGAGACATGTTTGTACTAAAACATTATGCAAATTTATCTGAAATGCAAATTTTCCTGGATATCCTGTGTTGTAGCTGGCAACCGTACGCCTGTGGTTTCTGAGTCCTCTTCCTGCCAGCTCCCCTTCCCACCTGCTACACCTGCCAAAGTGTTCTAGCATTTTCCACACACTCCCATCACCACCCATCCTCTCCACTCCTGTCATCGTTATACTTACCTGCCCCAGTCTAGGAAGGTGACAGTGTAGCAGTTGTCATGCATGAGTAATTGTGTACTTTCCCTTTATTTCCCCAGCTATGTATTTATTTTCAAGGATGACTGGCCAGCATTTGGTTTTAATTTCATTCAGAATGTCATGTGGCTGATACTAAAGATGAGTTAACTGTTGCATAGGACAATAGTAACTCGTCTGTTAACAAAGCTGCTTCTCGATAAGACACGCTGTGCTTGACATTTCACTACCTGAATAAAAGAGCCAGAGACCCGCAGCTGAGTCCTGTGTTCCTCCCCGCCATTGTGTAAGGGTCCACGTGTAATGAGGGAAGGATGTCTCACACTGGTGCCAGGAGCAAATCAGCTGTAGCTGAGGCAGAACCATGTATGAAATAGAGTCTTCCTTGTTTTAAAATTTAGGCTCAGGAAATTCTGATTGTCCATATCTGTCTTGGGAGTGTATTGGTTTTTAAAAAAGCATTCTTTTCAATCTACTTGTCTCGGTGCTCACCACAGCCCAGATGACTCCTTAACACAGGAAAAACCAGCAGAGGTGATGTGGCTGAAGCTACAGGAGACCAGAGGAGCCTGGGGTGCGGCATCTGTTTATGCTGTCCCACCACACAGTGCATTCGGGAGCTGAATGCCATGAGGGCATCCGTCCCCCAGAGGCAGTGGGGGGTAGTGAGCCCTGAGGACAGAGCCAGGCAATTCGAAATGACTCAAGCCTGGAAGAATTTTTGTGAAGCGTGGTGAAAGTTTCCTTTTTTATTGCTAAGGATTTCCCTTTCTCAGTTGAGTAAAATTTCCAAAGTTGGCCACTGGTTGTTTTGTTATTCATGGTGAGCAAGAAACCGCAGTGCCCAAACACCCAGCGTGGGTCTGTGTGCGTGCGGCACGGCATGTGGGTGTGTGTTTAATGACAGGTGTCCCTGCTCCTTAATTATCTCTAGTCCAGGTCTCGGCTCATCCCACAGCTTACAGGCACAGGCAACAAGGCCCCAAGTTGTTTCCAGAGCAATCACCGGTGAATGAGAGTGAAGATGAGATGTCTTCAGGACAAACACACTTTTGGGATTCTGCACATTCCATTCCTCCCCGTCTGTTTAAACTATTCATTGGTCTAGTAAAGGCTTTGATAATTTTTACAGAACAGTGATATTAACTTAAAAATGAGATGTTATTTAATTCAGTGTTTTCCCAAATCACCCTGCCCTGCTCCTTTTGTTCAGTGGAACATCCCACCATAATCCCAGGAAGCTGCTGTGGGAGGCCGGCTCTCACAAAGGGTGAAGGAAAGTGAGAGGTTTATCACTGGTGCATTCCCTCTCCCAGACAAACAAAATGCAGCTGTCCTCAGCACTACCCTCAAGCCTTGCTAGGCAGCCCTGGCAGGACTCCACACACCTAAGCCCATGTGTTCCCACTCGTGGTCTCACTGAGTCTTGAGGTAAGGGACAGTGTATATGGGGATGGCATTGCGGGTCCTGCAGACTGAGCACCATATTAAGAGCTGCACATTGGCAGTCTTGACTGATGACTAAGGAGACAAGCCACGTGAGCACTATACCAGATGGGGGAATGTGTATGTGAGGAGGAAATGTGCTCCCCTCTCTCAGCCCAGAGCACTCACATTCTCTCTCTTCACTATTTTCACACCAGAACACACGAAGCTACAGTCACCATGTGCACTGTTCTAAGGATCCTGCTACATTGTCACACAGAGGCAACGTGCATAGTGTCACTCAGACGTGGGCCCAATGGTGGTGCCATCTAAGCTCTTGCTGCTTCAGGGTTTTGCACAAGCTGCTTTCCCTATCGGGTGGGATGCTTCTGACATATTGGCACTGCATCTTAAGTTTAGCTCAAAGTCACCTCTGAATAAAGCAGGCTCTCCCTTTTTCTCTTCAAGTATCCTATTTGTATTCTCTATAACACTCACCATCACCTAGATCCATACATATTTATTCCTTTGAATATCGCCTGTCTATCTCCAAATAAAATAGCAACTCCAAGAAGGCTAAGATGTTGCTATTTCAGTCACTTCTGGTTCCTCAGTCTGAAACAGTGCCTGACTCAGTAGACACACCCTAGTGCTTGTTAAATGAAGAACAATGCATCATTTTCCCATCTCATTGGTTGCTGGGAATTGATGGGCGTGGCCACTGACCAACAAATGAACTGTGTGGTGTTGATGGAGATAGTTTGTAATAAATGCTTGTGGATAGCTGCCCGGCCCAGCCACAAGTCTGGTGGAAATGAGGAAGTACAGAAGTAGAGCAATAGAAATGAGTTTTTATTTGTAAAAAGTTACAAAATGATATTGTACAAAAATAAAGTCTGTAGAGAACTTTGGTTGTATAACACAAATGACCGAGACAGATCAGAGAAGTCAGAACTTCCAAAGAAGTGCCCTCTTCACTGTATCTGATGGTGATCACAATGATAAAGAAAAATCACGAACTTTACCCTTTTGTGGATTGATTTCGTGGAGCAATTTGCTCCCATTAGAACCTGCTTTTGATGTGTAGGTGATGCTGGGAACAAGCAGTTGCCGCCCATTGAATCCTGAAGCCCCTTTGGGCAAGGACTCTGTGGGGAGCTGGGCTGAGGTCGAAACCTAGGAACATCAGCCACCACATCAGCCAGGATTCTCTGAATTTGGGACAACATCCCAATTTTGCTGGATAGCTGGGGATGTCACTGTTCTGAGCAGGAGAGGGCATTTTCCTCTATTTTCCTGTCATTCAAGGGTAGCAGAAAAGACAGGGACAGAATAATAGAGGACAGGGGTCTTTGGGGGTGATGAATGGGGAAGATGTCTGGTAACTTCTTCTTGGTTACTTTGCAAACATAACATAATTATTTGAGGAAGGCCAGTAGGTTATAAGTGCTAAATGTATACTACTTTTGTGGCCAGTAACCACTTAGGTAGTGATAGATTAGCTCCTGGATAAAAATCCCTTTTAATGGCATGTATAACAAGCTCTAGCATAGGGCCTAGTCATCACCCATATGTTGGCTGCCAGACAGATTCACATGGGGCCACAGAAGTGGCAGTTTCTCCCCTCCTGTGTTTCTTCCCCGAGCTCTTTCATCGGAGGCAGCCTGCTCTGGGAGCGAGGCCTTGTATGTGTGTGCACTGTGGCCAGGACACATGCCTCTGCCTTGTCCTCCCTTCTTAGCCACCTTTCCCCCGGGAAGCCTTCAGGTGAGCAGGTGCTGTAAGAGTGGACCCCAGGAGACAGCCAAGGGGCTTGTAGGGGGCCACATTGGTATAGTGCTGGCTGCACTGTGCACCTCTGTTTCTTGGGAAGGTGGTGGTAGATGGCAGTGATGGAGGATGAGCTACCACAGGGCTGGGTAAAACCCTGGCTTATAGACAGGGCCTTTCACTTTGCTTTTAGGTCAACATAGGACTACCTATGATAGGAATTTTACCTTTTATATATGGTTATGCACGTTACAGGTAGATACACGTGGAGGGAAGAGGAGCTTAAATACAACAGAGAGTGGAGCATATGGCATTGTCTATTCAGAGCTGGAGCATCGAAGAAATGAAGCCAAGCCAATGGTCTCTGCACACTGCTCCCAGAAAGGGGGCCGACCTGGAAGTGCCCCTTCTCACATGCTTAAAAAAAGTACAAACAGGGAGAAAGACTGAAATCTGGGGAAATTAATGAAGGATTTTCTTAAAAAGGTAAAGTAAGTGATTTTTGCCTAGAGAAAACCTTTTTAATACTTTGGAAAGCATGGACCCTTGTTCCCAATTAAAATTTCCTTTTGTCACCTTTCTTTGCATTTTGCAAGCATATATACTTTGGCACCTTTGAAAAGAAACTTTAATAAATAAGGGGAAGAAAGAGAAATTCATTAGTGAATGGTAATAAATAACAATAACTTAAATCTCAATAAATATCTTCTCTATATTTCTGTATCTGAAATAGATGCATTGCATCGAGTAGCTTCTCTGGTCACTGGTGACCATGCATCAACGGAGCTGGGTATGTAACATCTGTCTCTCTGTAAACCGAAGGCCCTGGGGTGGGTCTCCCCGGAGAGCAGCTGGCGCCTCTCCTGCTTGTTCTCCTAGGAGAATCTGTCAAAAACTACAATCACTTCCTGTTTCCGCGGGCATAAAGGGAATACCTTCAGGTTTGTTTTCATCACGAAAACAGCTTTGCTTCTTTTTTTGGTTCCTAGCCAACTTGTTCCCACCCCCACATACGATGTTCAAAATTAATCATCAACCGTTCTCCCAAACGCCAGTTGTAGTCAACCTCAGGCCTTAACCTTTAAGTTGTGTCTCCGCTTTTTCCCCCCTCTCCTTTTCAGGGTATGAATCCATTGAGTGACAGAAAAATAACCCTTTCTGACTTTCAGCAGTAGAATGTAATCACAAGGAGTGACACTGGGCTCACTGTTTCCCTGGTGTCCTCAGGTGGAAACGAACCACAGGAGATACACTGGTTTGTTTCTCTGAGTGCATCCGCGACTGCAACCGTGGTTGGTGATGGTGGACTGTATCAGAAGAAATGATGACAACAGCCAACCAGGGACACCAGCCCTGAGCTTCTGGTGACATTGGCTGCTGTCCTGGAGAACCTAGATGGCTGTTTTCTCTCTCCCATCCAGTTTTCCATAGCTGGACCTCCCCCTACCAGGCTCCCACGATGGCTGCCTTCCTCCTCCTCCTCTTCCTCTTCTGCCTCTGCCTCCTTGGTCCTCATCTTCCCTTCCGGGCAAACATTTCCTGGGAACCTTGGTCCCTTTCTTTGCACTGTAGCAGGAATGCAATACACAGCAGTCTCTGGAGCTGGAGTCAGATACATCCACACCTTTTAGCGGAATGCTTTCTTAGAATATGGTAAACCAGGTTATCATCTAAAAACGACAGGTCGTCATCGAAGGCAATGGGTCTGCAACAGGCCTGCCCTACTTTGTCACTCACTAGCCTTCTACTTCTGGATAAGTTTTTTAGTATTTTGTCATACATAGTCTCAGCTGCATCGCAAGAGCCGCTGCAGTACCGAAAAATCAGTTCTTCCTTGGTTTCATAGCCCAAACCCAAATCAGTGACATTTAAATGTATTGCCGTTAAGACACAGCCCCGATTTTTGCCCCTCTGGCCTCTTCGACCTTTTCCTCTGGAATTCTCTGGGTTGGCAGCTGCAGCTTGCCGATTCCGCTCTCTTCTAGGAAGCACTGCCATTTGTTTATCTGGTGACCTTTTCAGTCTTTTAATGGTGGCTTGAATAAAATCCATGACATCATCAAACTGATTGGGATAATCCTCTGGCATATTTGCTGTTCAACAAGAAAACAGAAAATATCACATGAGACAACAATGACCATTTCAGACAATCTTCTGGCTCAAAGTGACCCCTAAAGTCAGTGCAAATTGGACCCACAGTGAAATGATCAGCCACTTAAATTAAGTGCACACTGTAACCCCCCTAAAAACAAAGGCTAGTATACATCCTCTAACACTTTGCAGAAGAAAGATTAGTTGGAAAAAGAGATTAGTGTGGTGGGTGATCCACTTCATTGTAGAAACCCAATGCTTACAAGTGTATTTTACATTTGAACTAATTTAACAAGTCAGTAGGGAAGCAGCTGTGAGCTGGCTGACCAGTGAATGCTCTTTTCTTGCCTTGGAATATAGCCTAAAGCCTGTTTCTTAAACAGGAACGTGCAGTGTTATGCTTTATATCAAGATGTTCCCTCAAAACCTCATACACTCTTAGGTGAGGCTTTTGGAGGGTGATTGGATCATAGGTGTGTTATTGGATTAGTCCACTAATGGGTTTTATAATGTTGGAAGGTGAACCCTGGTGGGAAGAGATGGGTACTGTGGGCATGGCCTGAAAGGTTATAACAAGCTCCCAAAGAATTCTGATATTCACAATTCATAGACTAAATTTTGAGAAACACCATCTCAGAGGCCAAAAAGTTCACCTCCCAACCTTGTGACTTTTGTGTGGACTACTGAGTGCTCATCCCCGAAATTCATCCTGACACTGTGCCTGAGTGGGACAAGAATATACAGACAGAACTAAAAGGATATCAGAAGTCAAGTCTACTTTAAAACTTCTTTTAAAAAAACTATAAGAAATGGAAAAACAACTTATATCTCACTAAGAAAATAATTTGCCATTTTCTTTGAATGGCGTGAATTTGACAAAAAAGTATGGTGATTTAAATGTATCAAATGTATCACAGCAGTGGATGAAATTAGTCCTTGTTTGTGGAAGAATGTGGCTCTTATCCCAGGGGGGAAGCCCAGGCTCTGCTATAGGCTGCTATATAGCAAATTAGATGAGAGAAGTATACCTCAGGAGGTCCCATGGGACACAAATGAGAGGACACTCCCATGTGTGCGACCCTTGGCTAAAGCAGTACGGACTTGCTGTCTCGTGATGTCTTCTGGGTATTCCAGAATTTGGTGCTGTATTTGGCCAATTGAGTAAGAGAAAAATAATTGTTGAGACACTTTAATATATTTCTAAAGGGAAAGAAAATCAAACCTGAAAATTAGATACCATGCTTTATGGCATCTTGACTCTATTTTCAGGCAATTTAGTTTCTTTAAGATTATATGTGGCTTAGAAAAATGTACCTAAAAAGAGCTGTGAGCAAGAGGAATTTTTTTCCAAGACTGCATTAAATCATAGACAGAGGTGACTATGCTTATCCTATCTCAAATTGTTTGATCACAAACCTAAACTAGTTAATTGTTTAAACATAACAGATATTCTATTATACAAAATGAAATATAGCCAGGATTACTTAATTACTTGTGTTTTAAGCTCCCTGGCATGTTGGTTTGGATCATGCTTCTTTGTGGGAGACTGAGATCATAGCTAAGGATGCTGGCCGCACTCCTTTTTGCCTAGTCCACTGCCTGTTCCTAAGGGGACCCGTGCTACTCTACACTCCCTTCAAGCTTTTGCTCGAATGTCATGGTCAACAGTCATGACTTCCTTGTTTAAAATGCAGTATGTTAGGGGCTGGGGATTTAGCTCAGCGGCATAAGCGCCTGCCTTGCAAGCAGCCAGTCGTGAGTTCGATCCCTGGTACCGATAAAAACGAAAAAGACCAAAAAAAAAAAAAAAAATAAAATAAAATAAAATAAAATAAAATAAAATAAAATAAAATGCAGTATGTTGCTAACCCCTATTCTCTGTGCCCCACTTCCCCCTACTCCCACCATAGCACTGCTGTGTGTTCTGTCTGAGGTGTTAGGTGTGCTATTTATGAACTGTCTTCTCTGATAGGGCTCCAGGTTCAAAATACAGGGATTGTGTCTGGAAGGGCCACTACTGATCACTAACAAGAGGTAGGAATGGGGCCTGGTACCTGGAGGTCTTGATAACGGTCTGTTGAATGAATCAGTCACTTTTGATAGGAAAGACAGAGTTCTTAACTTTTCAAGGGGACACAGGACTTTCACTGAGAACTGCACCATTATGAAATGAAAGGGTCCAAAATAAACATCCTATACCATCTGGGAAACCATGATGTCTGGCATGGCATAGGGCAGAGAACCACCTCCAACATCATTTTCCTCACCAGCTTCCTGTAGCGCTAAGGCTCAGCACTCAGTGGCCACCTTGTCCTGGGCGGGCTCCCAGGTGTAAGGATCCTGAGTGGAAGAGTTTTCAAGGCCCTAGACAGTGGAGAGCATTCCTAATGCCTTCTTGCCATTAGACTGCTTTCTGACTGGTCTGCTTTAGGAAGTTTTCTCAACAACAACAGCAGCAGCAACAACAAAATTGAGTCACTCTGATTTAAAGAAACAAACTATTTAATTTTTGGTGAGCTGGGAAGAGAACCAAGAAGCCACCTCATCTTCCCGCAAGATAGCAGTCAACATGGTCTGAGAGACACAAGGAGCCCTCCCCGACAGGCAACCCACTGATTCAGAGGCGCACAGACTGAGATGATAGCAACTGAAGTAAAACAAAAAATAAAAAACAAACTCTTAATGTTTGTATTGTTTGATTGACTTTGTAGACCTAAAGTCGGTCTGAAACATGTGTCTGAACATCTATTTAGAGGATAACAATATGCAGTATAGCAGCTATGGGGGTTTCCTTCTGTTTTGTTTTTGAAGTTCAATGTTTTGTTCCAATTTATTGTTTTGTTTTATTCCCTTTAAAATAAAAATAAAAAGGAAACAAACTACTTATTTTTTAAAACCATTGCTTATGCTATTTGTGATTTTTCTCATAAAAAGCTATTACAGAGGAAATAAATACAAATATGACCATATTTCTTTTTAAAAATAAATACTTGCTTGTATTTGTAGAAAAAATATCATTGTGTAGAAACTGGGACTTCTAAAATGAATACATTCTAAAAGGTTGACCAAAACATAAAGGAGTCTTTAAATCAGAAAAGTTGTTTTACAAAGTAACTTACACTTGAAGTCCCCATCTCTATTCAATTCCTAAAACAGATGATTAACTTAGGAACATCAATTAACAATCAATTGAAGATTAATTAGAAAGGTGATAAAACATTAGTAAAATTTTAACAAAAGTAATGGTAAAATGTTCGGATTCCAAGAGTTCAAACTATCCTGGTTTAGAGGCTCATAAATTTATAAAAGCTACTTAATTTCATATTACTAGAGCTATAATAATAATTTGAATCAGCACTTTAGCATTTTTAGGTCCCGATATACTTGAAATTATTGAAAAATACCCCTCCTCCCTTTTAAGATACTGTGACTGCATGGTTTTATCAAAGCTTAGTTTACCACAAAAAAGAATGCTCAGGTAAATTTAAATTTCAGATAGTGAATTAAAGTTTAATATAGGCCATTCCAAATATTGCACAGGACAAATAACGCAACATTTGAGATATACTTATGCTTTGTAATGAGAAAGTTTAGTGCTCTTTTTCCTTAAATCCTACTTGGCCTTTTTCTTGACCTGTGTAGAATGTGAATGCGCAAACTACTTATATTTTGGTATACTACTTATATTTTGATATGTGGTAAACAGGTTACTAGCCACGAGTTAAAAAGCTTCTTAATGGTAGTGAATATACACTGTAATCCTTACCAATACAACACCCAGAGGAAATCCCAATGTTAATTAACTATGAACTTTGAATGATTATTTTATGCCATCAATTGTAGCAAATGTTGATAATGGAGTAAGCTATGTATGTGTGGGGGGCAAGGAAATTTCTGTACTTTCCTCTTCTTCTTTTTTGGTAACAGGGGATCGAACTCATGACCTTGCACTCGCCAGGCAGGCATTTACACTACTGAGCTAAATCCCCAGCAGTACTTTCCTCTTAATTTTGTTATAAACCTAAAACTACTCTAAAAAATAAAGTAAAAAAAAGTTTCCTAGATAAATATCTGATGTGTTAAACCGAAGGATGTAGTTGCTCAGATCTCACTCTGATGGAAAAATCTCTCTCCTACTTGTAGCTGCTACAGAAATATTAGATAAGCTCCAAGTTCAGTACAGGTGACTTTCATTGAGTTGAAGGCTCTCCTTCACATTCTTGAAGAATGGAACAAACAATAAATATTTATGTAGAAAAGTTTACACAGATATGAACTGTGGAAATCAGGAGTGGGCAACTTTGTAGTTTGCAAACTACAAAGCAAATAGGCCTGACTCTTCCAACTAAATTCCTAACTCCAGGCTGACGCAATTGAGGTAGTTCACAGAGAACCTCAGTTTATCCATGTGGGTGTTGGGGGCATTAGGAGCCATATACCTTTGCAGAAGGGTGCTGGCCAAACCGTACTGGGTTTGTTCCTAAGAATTCTACAGAAGCACCTAGCCCAGCCCAGGCAAGTAACTCCCCCTAAAGAACCGAGAAGCCCACAGTTGCTTAAATCTTCTAACAACTCACTGAGCTGAGGAGAAAGGAACAGGGTTAGGGTTTGGTTAGTTCACTAAAATAAGACTTAATAACCCTGGATAGAGGTAGTGCCTATTGTCTAGCTATTGAGGAGGCTGGCACAGTAGGACTGATTTAGCTCAGGAGTTTGAGAACATCTTGGGTAAAATATCGAGACATCATCTTAAACAAAACAAACAACACAAACCTTAGCAGGGTATCACTTTCTACTTCATAAAAGGCTTGGTGAAATATCAGGTACACAAATAGCACTCACTGAAGTTAGTTTTGACAATAAAATAGTTGTAAGCCACAAAAGAAGACCATCATTAAAAACAAAACAAAGTAGGTATGTCAAACAGTTGCTCATTTTTCAAACATATTTGCAAGATGTAATTTTTGGAAAACAAGTCCATCTCAAAGCTAAAGTTTCTGAA